TCTCTCTCTCTCTCTCTCTCTCTCTCTCTCTCTCTCTCTCTCTCTCTCTCTCTCTCATGCTAAAACTACAACACTGGAACAGTAAAAAAAAGAATAATTCGCGAAGAGGGAAGGCACCACTAAACAGTTTGTCAAATTTGGTCGACACACGAATTGTTTTTAGTCCTACCTCGAAGAAATTCTCTTAAAACCAGGGGGAAAGTTCCCTAACAGAGGCCCCAGCTCTTCACTTCCCCTTCAAAGTGATCACAATCATTGTGTCTAATGAAGAAATTAGCATACACAATTTCGGTTTGAAAAAAAGGGGGGGGGGGTAATCATCTAATCAAAGATTATTTATAATTCCACCATAAAAATTATCACATCTCATACGACCTGACCTTATCTGATCTTAAACAACCATATCTATAAGTCTTATTGTATCATGTTTTACCCTATCTCGTCTTATCCTTTATCCATTTAATTAACATAATCCACTTCTTCCAACTTTATAAAGATACAATCTTAAATGATGGAACGGCAGACACACAAGACTTTAACGTGAAGTGGAGTCAGGTGTAAAAGATGACATCAGTTCGAAAGCGGTGATACTATGTCTTCTGCATTCAACGTATCAGTTAGAGTCAGTTGAGTCAAAAGCGGTGATGCTATGTCTTCTGCATACAATGCATCACCCTGATGCGGAGGTCTCCGACCGACAATAAAATAGTTTTAGTTATAGTAAGAGATTTACAGCACTTGCAACACAATAAGGTCATATAAGTGCCGAAGATTACAGGTGTTACAAGAGAGTAACAAACACAGAAAAGAAGTAGGAGAGATCAGGACGATAGATGTTTGACAGGAAAGTAGGAGCAAACCACACAAGATCATCCACCAACCACCCGCAATAAAATAACCAAGGCCGAGGGTACAGAGGGCTAAAACGTCAGCTGCGCAGGTAAACTGTGTGAGCGACATACCTGGAGGTAACGGCCACCCAGTGTGTCTAAATACAGCTGCTGAGGGCGGGCACAGTATCCAGAGCTGGGGGCAGCTTTTTTTTTTTTTGCAAGTGTTTTACGCCATCGAAACTGCATAAGGTCATATGAGCATTAAACATTTTCAGTTTTTGGTACAAATTGATTTAATGTTTTGCCCAGGTGGCGTCCGAAGCCTGCTCTTATCGATTTTGGACCACCAATGGATCCTTAACGTGCGCAACCAGCACACAGGACCTCCTAGATTTTTTGTCCATTTCCGAAAAGGCTTGGTATTAGATCTTACCTACCATAAGATCAGGGGTGTGGCTGAAAGACAGCAGCATGAAGGAGCCAAGGATTAGTAAAAGAAAGGCTGCAGAAAGAGTCATAGGAGCCCAGAGGATGGTCACATGGGAGGGGGGGAGGCAGAAAGTGGAGACGAAAGCAAACTACAGACCATGGTTAGAAAGCAGGAAAGGGGGTGAAAGAAGACATTTTTTAAAAAGAAAAT